GGGCGCGTCAAGTGATCAACGAGAGGACGGGGCGGGGAGCGGGTGCAAACCAGGCACAGCAGCTGCGTGCGACTATGCGGCGGGAACGAGCGGCGGGATTGGAGCAGTCACGTCCAGCGTTCCACAAAATAAAACTGGAATAAAAAATATCGTGCGACATTCTACTGGCCTAAGGGCCACCCTCGGGGTTAACACGTTGAGTCCCACATGACTACACGGATGGCCACAATAGCATGTAAAAGGGGACCAACGTGTTAACGGACGTCACCCACCAAAGATTGCGTGATTGTGTGACAACCATCAAAAAAGCAGAAAGATATCATGACACCGACCATGTGCCTCGTGACACGACGTTGCCCCCACTCTTACTCCCCCCCCTTTTGTTTTATCTTGTGAGCGACGTGTTGTCAGGTACTTTGGGGTGTTGGAACATCGCTCCGTTTCGTTTGTAGAGCAGAAGGTCGCGCGTAGCTGCGCCGGCACGGGCCCAGTGGAGCGCAGGGCGTCATTATGTGCGTGTCGCAACGGGGCGACGATCGTGCCCCGGTATCGCGCACGCACGCACGAGCGCACGCACGAGCTATGACGAGCTGTGCTCTTTCGCCCCGGCGTTCGCAGAGAATGATCGGCGGGACGGTTCGATCCAGGTCATGGGCCGGCGTGGAGGCGCGCGGTGGAGCGGCTGATGTGAATGCAGGGTCGAGGCCAAGGAAGGGTAATAAGTTTGCATTTTTTTTGTGCACGTGGTAGTGGTTATTACGAACGATTTCTTACATTTTCAGATTGTTCTTTTAAGATGCGAACATTGCAAGAAAAGCTAACAAAATGTGGTCACCTGCTCATTCCCTATACCTTTCTACAATAATAAGGATGACGTTAGCAGGATTCTGTGCATCGCGGCGAGTTAAAGCTGCCTCTGGGGCGATGCCCTCCCCCTGCTGGTACCAGAACCAGAGGCACGGGCGGCGGCCACCTGCACAACCTGAGAGGTCCTGAGCCGGGGCGGGCGGGCTCTAGACGCCCGAATCTGGCCTCCCTCACCGCAGACCGCACCGCGCAGCGCACCCGCCGCCGCCGCACCCCGCCCCACCTCGGCTGCCACACCCCGCCGCGCCCGTGCCCGGGACCCTTCGGCGCATATTCGTTCAACCATCTCGTGAACTTTCCCCTTTCGCTGTGGCCACCGGGCGGCACGCGCCTGGACCTCATAGGGGGAGGGGGAGCCGTCCGCGGTGAGGCGTGCCGAGGTGGGGCCCTGCCGGCCCGGCCCCCGAGGCCTGAGGCGCTCGGCGAGGCGGAGGTGAGACCTCCACGCCCACACACATCCTCCTCGCCAAAACACACTGGCACTTACTCCCCCGAGTCGTTATTTACGATGTTTACGGCGGCACGCCCACCCACCCCGGCCCATTTGTACCCCGTGACCACAGCACAAAGGCCACGGCACACCACCCGTCCACGTGGTGAAACGTAATGTACAGGGTGTCTCATGCACCCCGATCAATAAGCACCGCACTCTGAGCGGTGATATGTGTGCCACTGGCCTCCACCTGATCCCCTCCCCGCTGGCAGCCCAGAGTGTAACAATGACGCTCATTGGACGGGGCCGCGGGGCGAGGCGTGCTCTCGTGTCGGTGAGGCCCGACCGGCCCGGCCGGCCGCGCCCCTCCCTAACGACCTGTACGACCTGACCGCGCGACAGGTAACGCCGAGTAACGCGTCGAAACGAACACACGGCAGGGCGGCTGTGTTGTAAGTAAGTGCGCTCTCTGTGCAAGTGTGTGTACACTACCAGGTGGCTGACTCACGCCGCGCAATTTCGTAGTTATACTGTACCGCATGCACGCTCGCGGGCGGGTTTGCCTATCCACGCTGCCAACAGCTCCTTCTACCCCCGTGCGAGTAGGCAACCCGCACGCACGCGTGAATGGGGTACAGTATAACTACGAATGTGCGCAGCGTGAGTCAGCAACCTGGTATGTATGTGTGTGTGTGTGTGGTACTCACGAGGCGCTTCGCCGGGCTCCAGGACGAACACGCTGGTGCTGGCCATGAGCGCGCCCTCCTCGGCCTGCAGCGAGTCCTGGTCGAGGGCGCGCGACTGCGCCGTCAGCCCCAGGCCGCCCAGGCCGGCCTGCTGCAGCTGGAAGTCGTCGTCGGCGCAGCTCGGCTCCGGGCAGGCGCCCCGACAGAGCGCGATGTCGCACTGGAAGTGCAGCTGGCTCGAGTCCGGGAACCGGAACATGGAGCGCAGCTCGGCCTCGGCGGAGCTGCTCGAGGGGTCGTACTTGAAGGGCGAGATGACGGACGACTTGAACGGGCACCTGGAACACGCACAACCGAAAGGGTCAGAAACAAACACAAGCGGCTACTCAGGCAGGAGGAGAAGAAGGGCGGCTCTTGTTACGCGGGGGCGTGAGCTACTGCTCGTGTGTGAGTGTGTGCGTGTACGTGTGTGTGTGTGTGTGCGTGTGCGTGCACTGGGCGTTGTTACTGAGCCTGGCGCCGCTGCTGCACCCGCTGCACGCGCTCTCACTTTTGTTTTCACACATGCGAGAGCCCCCCCCCCCCCATCCCTCTTCTCCTCCTCCTCGTTCCCACGTCCATGTAGAGGCCTTACAGCAGCGCGGCGCGGCGGCGCGCGGCGTCTGCGGTAACATCTGGGGCGTGCCTTGGGGTCTGCCCATCTGCGGTGGTGGCGCCGCGCGGGAGGACGACGCCGCCGCATGAGCCGAGCAGCACAGCAGCAGCACAGCAGCAGCACCGCGCTGTGGTTTCGTTTCCATCCCGTAGTGTGACGTGACGCGACGGCGAGCTTAGGCGGGGCGGGGCGGGGC